TGTCTGTAGCTAAAAAAACAACACAAAAAAATTTGAAAGCACATAGTAAATCTGGGGACACAGCAACAAAAGGACGGCAAAGGGTTACTGTCTAAAATATAAAGGCCTCATAGAAGTTCATAAGAAAAACACAAACAAAAAATACAAATGGCTAATAAACATTTTAAAATTATCTTCGTTTACTAATAATCAAACATATGCTAATAAAAACATGAAACTAACATCTATGATATTATCAAAGTTTTTTGCTTTTAGTGAGAATATGCAAAGCTTGTTAGGTGCACTAGGAGAGTATCAGATGAGACATTTTTGGAAAGTATTAGCAATACAAACCAAGCACCTTAAAAGTGTTCTAACTTTTTGACTCAATAATTTCACTGTTAGAAATGTAAGCCAAAACGCCAATCCCAAATACTTGGGAGAAAACTTTATGACAAGTTTTTATGGCAAAGAAAAATTAAGAACAGCCTAGAGATACAATAAAGAGAGAAGAAAGTAACTTGTTACATCTGCACAGTAAGATATTTGTTCAGTCATTAAAACTTATGCTTACAGAAATTTTTAATAAAATAGGAAAATACTCATGCCATAACCTTATGTAAAAAATGACGCATACCAAATTATATACATGGTACAATTAAAGGTCTAGGAGAAAAATGTACGAAGGGTGTTCAAAAAGTTCATGGAAGGATTGGTATTATCTTTCAATTCTATTTTTTCACAAACTTTTTGAAGTGTCCTCACATACCAAAGTGTTGACAGTATGTACTTTTAGGGAGTAGTTGTATTCGTGACTTTTTTCTACCTCTTTATACTGTTTTGTACCTTCTAAACATTCCATAATGTGTATCTATTATTTTTATAATTTTAAAATTAATGATTTTTTAAAATAAAAACATTATTAATAAATTGGAAGGATCTCGACTCAGTCATAAATTCCTTAGTCTTCCTCATCCTTTCCCATGTTAAAATGAGACCTTTTCTCATCTCCCCAGTAGGGGCTGTTGGATTATTCTTGGCCAGTGGCCACCGGGTCAAATGAAAGTGCAAAGTACAGGTTAATCTGAGCAACATGACGCAGGCATCGACAACAGCTCTCAAAAGTTTACATTTCATGTCTAAGATCATGAAGTGTATTAGAAAGGTATAAAAGTAAATTTTCCCATGGGAAAATTGCTAACTCAATACCCAATATTTAAAAGGTTATGACATCTCAAGGTAAATAGTTTTCTTTTAAATTTCATGCTGCGGTCAATGAAAATCTTAAGACTAAATATAGACATAAATTTATTAAAAATTAAAGAGTGACAGTGGTGATGGAAATTGTGTCAGTTTGAGTCTCCCAAAAAGCAGAAACCAAGACAGAATTAGACATTCAAGAGGTTTATTGGGAGAAACACCTGTGAAGGATACAGGTGAGAGGGAGCAAGAGTAAGTAGAAAGAGCCTTAAGATCTCAATGCCAATCTGGCATCTGTAAAAGGAGAGAAGGAAGGAAGGAAGATTGGTAGGAGGAGCCCAAAAATTACAGTGCAGCTCTGAGAAAGTCTTGGCCAAATCAAAGAGAAGTCCCCTAGCAAAGACTGCCAGA